GCGGAGCATCCTTGACACGGAAGGCATTATTGAGATGGACTATAACGTCGCAGGCGAAGGAAACGGCATCGGATGGACCCCGCTGAGCGCGGCTCTTGCTGCGTACAGCGAGACCTTGGCTATCGAGCGGAAGTTCAAGCAGGAGGAGCACCAGACGAGCACGTCGACCGCTCGCAGCGTGAGCCGTATGTCTCATGGCGTGCCAGAATACCCAGATGAAGACGCAGATAGGAGCTCCATTATGCGCAGGCTGGATAGGAAGTTCAGTCTGGAAGAGAAGTCGTACAACAATACGGTGAGACCAGCGAGGGCGAGGAGACCAAATACGAGCACCGGTTCAGGTAAAGCATATATTGGTTGCCATCACGGGTGATGTGTGTGGCTGATGCGAACCCCTTGCCCAGCTGGATCAGAGCCTTTCCAACCGCCGCGACAAACCGATGGGTCGCTGCCATCAGCTAACCATCTTCCCACGTCCGGGTCTCAGGTCGCTGCAACTGCAGCCCTGTCGGACGTGCGGTCCAGCAGCGACTTCGTCTCTTCGTTAACACCGCCGAAGGGGTCGCATCTCAATGTTAATCCGGAGACATATGCCGAATCGAGGCCCAGGCTGTGCCGTTCGCGCACCCCTGACCCCGAGAGCAACATCTTCGGGCCTTCCAGTTTGCTCGCAGGCATCCCGCTCTCTCGAGTATCGACTGCACCTGCGCAAGACCGTTCCTCAGCCTGAATAGGAGTTAAAGTTTGAAAGGGAAATGAAATCGTAAGTGGGGCGTGGCAGTGGTGAATTAGGGAGAGAAGGCTCTGATAAGACGTCGGAGGGTAGGCTTCTACCCGTTTCTGACCGATCGCTATTGGGAATTGTTTCTTGCTTTTGTGCTTCGTTCTGCTGTTGTCTTTCATTTCTCATATGTATGAAAAGCGTGGGCATTGTATAACAACTCATCACTGGTTCCTCATTATTCTGTCAGGTTATTCGGAGCATTTGCGATATGTACAGTATGTGAGGGCGCAGGGCGGCCTATGTACCTTGTATTTCGTTCAATGTAACACCATTCATTACACTGCCACGCGCACAGACGCCTGGCGCTAAGCGTCGCTCGCTGAGTTCTCGCTGACTGAGTCGTCCTGGCGTTTGCCGTTCGCTTAGTATTGCGGTCGGCGCAGCGAACGCGCACGCCCCAACGTCATCTCTTGAGCACATATAAAAGCTGTTCTGCAGTGTCTGGAGAACGTACCGCACATACACATACTCCTCGCAAGCTCGGTGATCATGTCAAGTAAGCTCGTAGAGTCGACGATCTCGCTCAATTCATCGACGAGTACGACCGATGTTCAGGGGACGATAGAAGTCAAGAGGGATGGTACCTCTTCTAGGATTCGGCGACATAAGGGCAGTGTGCCCTCCGTGCCCCAGACGAAGCTCTGCACCCTATGTCCTGCAAAGTTCACTCGTACAACTCATTTGAGCCACCACATACGGACGCGTAGGTCTCTCCTATCTTCGATCCCACGTTTTTGCTGATCTGACGATACTCAGACACGAGGGAGAAACTGCACGAGTGCGATGTGAGGAAACGTTGTGCCGCGGCCGGGTCGGACGATTGGCTAATGTGTTGTGCTGTTTCCAGAGATGCCATTCTCAGTTCACCAGGAGCGACCTCCTAACGAGGCACAAACGCAGCTGCAGCGACCAGTAAGTGGCTTTAACATTTACCAATTTTGGAGGTTTCAAGAGAGCTGCTGTTTCGAGCTTTTGTCAATTGCCAGCTCTCCAAGCCATGATCGCTCGAGTTTGGTGCATATATGTGCCTTGGATGCCATTCAGCACCTGGTTACAATTTGATCGAGTGAATGTGTGAAGCTTTTTCGTCTCGCTTCTTTTGGACGTGCGGGGGGGCAATTGAAGCTGAAGCTGGGGACGACGGCTTCTGTTGCATGGAGCAATAGTGTGCGTGCAATGCTGCTGATGGAGCGTTGTGTTCTTATATGACATTACATCGTGCATGATCTGACACATTTTTGTATGAAGGGGCAACGTCAGTCGTTCTCGACGAAGGTCATGTCAAGCCTGCGCCGACTCCAAGGTCAAGTGTGATCTGCAACAGCCCTGCTCAAAATGTAGAAACTGTGGTCGTGACTGCATTTACGTGAACGGTGCCCCTGTTGCATCGGGGTCTCGCGCGGCCAAGCAGCAAATGCCGGATATGGGCGACCTCTCGGCGGAATCGCTTGCTATGGCCAACTCCTCGTTATTGCTTGCAACGAGTCCCGGTTTTTCTGGCTCATCCAGTCAAGATGACTCTTTGCGGGCGTGCGCCATGCAGGACGACTGGGGTGATTTTTCGCTGAGACCCGCCTTCCCTTCCTTTGTTTCCACCGGCTCGGTCGACTTTATGATCGACAGCAGCTCCATGTTCGCTCTCATAGATCAAACAATACCACCCCCAGAAAATGTACTTGGCGACCCCTTCACGAGCGAGATTTTCGGTGGACTGTTGGATAATATTTTCAACTCGAGCCACCAGATGTTCACTAGTTCTTATAGTGATAGGGCCAAGAGTGACGAATCGCTACGCGGACTTCATCCATATATTCCATTCTCAACCAATGTCGACAAAACACTGTTGTCCAGTCATCTGTTTAACAATCGAGATATAACATCATTACAAAGTATGCTGGGAAATAGTTACGGTGCCTCTCTATCGTCGACATCCAGTGTTTCTAATAGCCCATCATCTGCGGATCTCCAGTCCTACCGTATGTACTCTGTTACCATCGTAGTGATCTCTCACTGAAACGGTATTTCAGTCAATCTCTTCTTCTCCGCATATCTGCCAAACATGCCCATCATTCATCCAGCTACCTTCACGTTTGAGGGGAAATCGCCGCTGCTGCTTGCAGCCATGCAAGCGTGCAGCGCATTGTATGTCAAGACACGTGCTGCCGACCAATTCATCAATTCGGTCCTTACGAAAGCGAGAGACGAACTCATCGTTGAGTTTGTAAGTCACACCTTATGTGGCTTGTGCCTGGCAATATCGGTTTACCTGTATACAGGGAAAGGAGTCTGTCGATTGGGAGCGTCAAATTGAATTGATCCTTGCCATGGATCTCTTACAAACTCTGGGTTTATTCCACGAAACCTCGAAGCAACGTACGCTTTCAGCTGTTTATCATGGAGTCTTAACAATGGTAAGTGCATATATACGGACATGTTCAATCGGTATTGAAGGTCTTGTAGATGATACGTTTAAGTGATTTCGGCGAACAGATCTCGAAGTGGACAGCGCCGGAAAACATAGAGCCATCTTCACTCGATCGGCTTTGGCGCGATTGGGCAATTCGAGAGACTGCTAAGAGGTGACTAGCATTCTGTCATCTCTCATGTTGCATTCCTTGCTGATATCAGTGTGCGTGCAGGGCTCTCACGCTCTCGTACTTGCACGATGGCTGTCATTGCTTGTATTACGATCTCCGTCCCACCTACGTGACATCCGAATTCGACATCGACCTCCCTTGCGAGAATGCTCTATGGGCGGCTACAACAGCAGAGGAGTGGCTTTCGGTCCTCCAAAAACCATCACCGTACGGGACGATCTCGGAACGCCTTCGCGGTCCTTCTCTCCGGGGAACTTACGCCCGGCTGGAGAATGCGGGCGATTTGCTCCTGCACCCGTACTGCCCCCTTTGCACATTTCGTCGTCATCCACGCAATTCTGCGCCAGTTCTTCGAGGAAGACATCGAGTCTCGGTTGTCAGAGACGGCGACAGATGGCGACGCTTTACTTGAGCATGCCAGCCGCATCAGCGAAGGACGATTATGGCCGTTGCAAGCTACCCTGCACAACTGGCTCCAAAGCTGGTTGGGCTCGCCAGATTCGCCGCCGTATTCGAACGGGGTCCCGCGCTTCCTCGAACAGGCCTTGACGTACTACTGGATTGCACAGATTGCCATCATGGCGTACCGAGAGCGCCTGCCGCCGTTCTGCGGGAGGACATATCTTATGTCAGGGGAGGCCAAGTTCTGCCTGATCAAGAAGTGGGAGATGCACATCCGCGAGTTCCTGCACAGCGGGGCTAAGGAGCCCACCTTATTCTTGGAGGAGTTCGTTAAAGTGCGCCGTTTTGCAGGAGCCTGATGCGGGAGAGTGGGCGGGCGTGCTGGGATTCTTCTCGGATACGTGATGTCCTTGCGTGTAGATACTCAGCTGAGACCTCCCGGCCTCATGCACATGGCACGCAGAATTAGAAACTATGCGGATCATAACGAAGAGCCAGCTCATCCGAGAGGAGCTCGTCCTGCTTATCCTTGGCATGTCCACTACAACTATAAATCGACAAAGTACATTGACTAGGCCGTTCCAGGTGACTACAACAGGTTCTGTTCGATCGCTTGAACAGGAGAACTCATAAGATTTTCTTGGATCGCATTGGATCACTTTGATACCCTCGACGAAATTCGCAGCATCAACGAAATTCGCAGCATAACGACGGCACAAGAGAATGCGAACTTGCTTGTGCGAGGAAGATGACGAATTGCAAAACCCAGGGAGCACTGAGGACACGGAGAATGGTATTTGGTCGGGAAAATCTGAATACGTCCTAAACCCGCATGGCACGACGGACAGTGAGGGGCCTGGTGCCACATCAGCGGGAAGACTACGCCACAGCTAAGAGTACCGGCCAGGAAGGGGTGGCAAACCGTAACCCTTGCACGCTACACATCCGCCTTGGCATCATCAGGCGTCTTCGGAGACTAGGGGACTGTATGGTTACGGCTAACCTCCAGATTTCTGCCTGCGTTTTAGATCAAGTACAATGGCTTTAACATCCACGGCAAGGAGAAAGGCGCCCATCATAGTGAAGGGACGGACGAGGATGGCTGCAGGCGGTGGGCCACACTATGTACATAATTTGGTAATGCATCGTCGTCTCGGTCAACATACACCACGTCTGGTACGAGATAGCAATATACAGTAGACAACGAGATAGCTATATCAATGCGCCAACAAGCGTGCAATGTCCCTTAGGATCATCGCCTCCTCCTCTGCATCAGCTCTGCTCTCAGCTCGCAGCAAAGTCAACTCGTGCTGCAGATACTTCATATCTTGCCGTATTGCTAGCAGCCTGCCCTTCTCTTCCAGTCTTCCCCTAGAGTCTGTGTTAGGGAGCAAAGGGCGACAGTCCAGAGTAGGGGTCCCCACATCACTCCCTGCAAGCATTTCGGTGGTTACCGGTAATATGCGCAGGTTAGCAATTTGTGTGTCATGCAAAACAGTGCAATCGCTAGATGGAGGATCCGATGTGGTGACGGATGGCACCGTGGTCAAGGGGGAAGGCGGGTGCGATATGAGCATGAGCGAGTTCATGTTCTCGTGATGTTCTACTTTGGGATTGCTGGAAAGCGAATGTGACGTAACAGTAGATGTCTCCATGGCCTCTGCCGTGGTGTAAACAGAACGACCGGACATGGCAGATGGAGATTCAGACTGTGAGATCAATGCATATGAGTCATAATGTGCGACTTTAGCAGTGGAAACAAACCTACGTTTATGAATGAATTCTCGTCACTGATATCCCCATCATAGCCGGCCATTTTGATAGTCTTCACTGGGTGGGGAGTGGGTACTCTGATCGTGCGACTGGGAAGATCAGTAAGATCTGAGACATAGTCGAAATACGATGGTGCGAAAGAGGGTGTGGCTGTTGCCCCGTTCAATGGACTATATGCAATGTTTGACATCGTTGGAGAGGGCATGGCTGTTGACGCATTTGAAAGACTATATGTGATGTCTGATGGCGAAGAGAAAGGCACTGATGTGGCCGCACTGGACAAACCATCTTCCTGATAGGAAGATTGTGAGGACAATGGAGTGTGATCCAGCTGAGGTTGCCAGAACATCATGTGCATGGAGATCGAATCTAAGGAGGTGGAACCTGCGTGATAGACGCCAGCTGTCAGCACCCGAAAACATACTGCTAGAAGCCGATTTCTTACCAAGAATGTACTGTACTAGCGCAGTCAAAACCTGCTGAGTTATCAACTTTGCACTTGCTGCAAGGTTGCAGGCTTTGACAATCTCCTCGACACCTATCCAGTTCTTGAAGCCCACCAAAATGTTGGCGCCCCAATAGAACCATGTCGCATCCACCAATGGTTCGATACTTGCATAAGCACGGTTGACAAATAGCAGTAGATTTTCAGGAATCCTACGGGTCGGATCCACCTGTGGCAGGGCAGTGTAAGGCGGATCCTCACAAAGACCCTGAAGAGCATTGAATTCGACTGATAAACGTCACAGCGTATAGATGCGACACTTACCAGCTTGATGATGAACTGGTATGTCCAATTCTCATACTGTTGCGGTTCTCGAGGAAGATGGGGCAGTGCGCTGAGGTGCTGTTCTAGATCGAGCCGCTGTTGCAGGACTCTGTCCATAGCGGTCAGAGGGAAAAGATCAGTCTTAGTTGGGGGAAGAAGGAAGGCATGTGTGATAATGCGTGTCATGTGCACGTGTGACTAGCCTGTTTCAAAATCCCACCCTGACACTGTAGTACGCAATTTCGGAGTTATGTAATCATTTTTCATCTCCGAAACACGTCGATTGGACCTTGAATGACACGTCGGTGGCTGAAAAATGCAGTGGCTGAGGCTCATTGTAGCATATATCCATTCAACATGCCCTTTTTTCTCTCATAGCCAGCTTGTACCTCTATTTTCAATCTCATAGACACAGACAAAGGGAGGACTGACAGACACATACATGTTGATGAAGTTGCGGTTGTCACGAACGGTCCCTGTTAGATTTATTCGGCAGATAATGCTACGCAGCAGCGTAGCCAAAGTCAGCAGCAATGACTGCAAACGTGTTAATGTACCACATGTCATCGGCCAGCCAGATCTGCACACTCATCATCAGCACATCTGGTCAACCTCAAAACTCGTGTTGATGCTTGCTGGAGTCCTCTCCGGAAAAGGTGGAGCACTGCATCTGGGGAACGAACTCGGTGGCACCGGTGAGCCAAGATCATGGTTACTGCCATGAACATGCTCGCACACTGCTCACCTTTGGCGTGGGCACATAATCGTCCTGCAGACGCTTTATTATCCATAAATTGGCCGCTATTCTGGAGACACGTTGAGAATATGAGACGGGGCGCGGCTGTCTCTCATATGACTGGTCTGGGGGCGCTTACCTCACTACAACTCCTATAAGCGCCGACTCTGAGCTTTCCCTTGTGATAATCTCCGCATCTCCGCATCTCCTCCACAGTCGGAGGTCCGCCCTGAGCACATCTCCGTGTTGCCATGGAGATGAGGAGTTGGACAAAAGCCATTGGTGCTGATCTCCGCCTT